GCGAAGGCAATGCATAAAGTGATAAAAGTGAGGAACATATTCAGATTAAATGCTTAAGATGGCACTGAGTGTGATGTAAATATTTCTTTGTAATATGAGAAGGTAGAAAATGTAGAAAATTAACATATCAAAACTGGGACAAATAAATACAGAAAGCTAAACTCATTGCGAACGAAAAAAATTCTCACTGACAACTGATTTTAGACTATGACACCGTCAACAACATTCGACAAGTAAAAGAACTATCCAAAAACAAATGTGTAAACAAACAACACTACACTAACAAACTAGTAACTTAAACTATTTTAATAACCTCCATTTGGGATATACAATGGGCTATGCTGGCACGATGCCAACTGACTTGACCAGAGCAGATTTGGTGACACTGACGGAGACGGTGAGATCGGAAGTGACCTAAACAAAAGATTTTTAACTTTTCTTACAGCAGAAAACACTGATGAAACTTACTCCTCAAAGTTTGAAAGAGTAAAAGTATGAGTGATTCCTGAGGGAAACGAACTGAGCGCGTCAAATTCGTCGGATAATGGTTCTGTCAACGAAAGTGACCTAAAAAGGATTTCTTCTGAGCTTCTTGGTCATCTTTGCTTCATTTAGAAATTTCTTTCTTACGTCTTTTCAGATAACAAACTGCCAAAGTCATTGGTAGAGGGTAGAGCTGTGTCGACTGTCAACATTGCTGCAAGATCCTTTTAGTTAGAAAACGAGGATTAGGAAATTTACAAACCTCTTTGGGGACATTTATTCTGTTCTTCAGCATCAGCTAGCATAAGTTCTTCCAAAAGCACATCCAACCGTGCCACACCGCTCAATTTTGTCACCAAAATATCTTCGCAAATGGAATTTGCCAAAGACTACAAATAATACAATTTGTAACTTAAAGCAACTAGATTTTGGATCCATTTCAAATCCTTACCGATAAGGGAGAAAGCAGAAAACAGGTCAGATCTCCTAACCGCGTTTTTTCATCAAATTTTCTTGTCCGAACGTAGTGTTCCAATGCTGAGAAGATACGCCTTCGGGTATTCAATACGGTAGTGACAGCCAATGGCGATAGGCCTTTTGCAACTGAAGTAACTCGTACAGAATAAAATAGTGTAGAAAGATTCAAGGTCAGTTAGTACTAACCAGGATTGAACAAGACACAAGCTTTGAGCGTAACGAATTCTGCATCGTCAATTGCTAGAAATCTCATCGGTGCCACCATTTGATCCATCACTTTTTCACAGTCGGGAAGGTAAAAACCGCTGGAAATATTACTTTTAGTGAGATTGTGGATGATTGCCAAATTTACAGCATGATGAGCGATACGGTAATGGTATACGCTAATACGGTAATATTACATACAGTGAAAAACCTAGCATTGTGATGTGAATCTTTCGTCATTGTAATTTTTACAAGGAAACAGCATGTAAATTATTGTAGAAATATTGGAATTGCCTAGAAACATTTTGACTGCACAAGTGGAAAGGCTGTTCTTTTTTTACTGCTCATCCGCTCTTTGGTCAAATTTATAAATACCGCTTCCACAGTCTGTACCATAAGGATGAAAAAATATTTTGCGATCTCAAACAGTAGAAGTACCATTGAAACAAATGATAAAAGAAGATACCAAATGAATTTGGACTCAAAGTCTATTTGTCCAAATAATTCAAAAAAAGACAACAAGTTTCACCCCTATAATTGAAATCCTGTTGAATGCTTACTTCTTATCTTGCAAATCCTTAGATGGTCTGAGAATAAAACTGTCGTTGATCAGCTTCAGGAAGTCCGCTCCTTCTTTGGAACGGTATGATACGCATAATACAATATGTTGTGGAGCAAAATTCTTGAGCAAAGCTGTCTGAAATTATCATAATTTCTCATTTGGTGAAATTCAAGCATAAGGTGACATGGGCTCAAACACGATCGTAACAAATAAAAAAAAATTTTTTTTACCTGATCTGTCGTTGATAGGGTGAGGAATGGCGGAAGTGTTTTTGCCCATTCGATTACTAAAAGCAGTTGACTATGTAGAGATTTGATTATGTCATTGAGTGTGGCTGTCCGGGTCCCCGAGCAGGAAGACGCCTGAACAAGAATTCAGGGTCAAGAATTACAAAAATGAATGATTTATACCGGCTCTTCCGGATTCACCGTGTACTCCACATTTCCTGTCTGTTTTATGAC